CACCCAGAGGAATCGAACTTTGATGTTGAGATTCGTTAAAATTCAGTGCGAAAATCCACTAGGCCATTTGGACGTAAAAATTCAAAATGGTGAAAAAACACGATTTTCGATGTTGCTAAGAATTTTAGAGCAGTTTTGGGCAGTTTTTCGGGGGTTTAGAAGGTCTTAAAATGTTCTAAAACTTTTTAAAAGGTTTCTAAACTTTAGTTTTTGGTACTAAACCTTCATAAAATCCGCATCCGCTCTCAACAAGATTCCTCCGATTGGCGATGGAACAAATGAAAAATTATGATTGCCTGTATAAAAAATTGGCGTCAAAATAACAGCTGGAGCCAGCCATTCAGAAAAATAAATGGAAAAAATTACAGATGGACACCAGAACTGCAAAATTTGTTCAATTTTTTTTTGAATTTTCAACATATCGAGAGCTTCTAAACTCTGAAAAACTGCTTTAAACGACCTAAAAACCCCTAAAAACTCTGAAAATCGCGATTTTGAATTTTCGCGTTCAGATGGCCTAGTGGATTTCAATAATTGGCTATTTCCGGTTACTGTATATTATACACAATCTGAGAACGAGAGAGTTTAAATCGTCGTTTTTCTTGATTGTCAGACTTCATGTGAGGGATTTGAAGTGGTTTTTAATAGAAAAAGTTGGAACCCTTGAAAAAACCAGCCAAAAATGACCATTTTTGACATTTTTGGATCTTCAGAACACTGAAAAACTGGCTAAAAATTGCCTAAAACTGCTCTAGAACTCTTAAAACCATCAAAAATCGCGATTTTCGACCACTTTGAAGTTTTGCGTCCAGATGGCCTAGTGGATTTTTGCACTGAATTTTTACGAATCTCAACACCAAAGTTCGATTCCTCCGGGTGTCAAAACTTTTTTGTTTTTTGTGTGGACCTCGAAAAACGCATTTTTAGCAGTTTTGGATGCTTGAAACGTTAAATTTCATAATTTCAGCCAAAAAGAAATCTGAAATTTCTGAAAAATAGGTTCCAAGCATCCAAAACTGCAAAAAATGCATTTTCCGAGGCCCACACAAAAATCAAAAAAGTTTTGACACCCGGAGGAATCGAACTTTGGTGTTGAGATTCGTAGAAAATTTCGGGGAAAAATCCACTAGGCCATCTGAACGCAAAAGTTCAAAATGGTAGAAAATTGTGATTTTTCATGTTTTTAAGTGTTTTAGATTAGTTCTAAACTGTTTTTCAGTGTTCAGAAGCTCTAGAAATGTTTTGAAAATTGGTTTTTTTTTTTTTGCAGTTCCGGTGAATTTTGAAATTTTCAGACAAATCGTCTCTGAAAATTTGCATTTTTGGCATACAAAACACATTTTTTAGAACGACTAATTTCTCTTCCG